CTACTATTAAGTTTCTATAAATGTCTTTGTGTTTCCAAAGATTTTTGTAATACATATTGTATGGTTATAATTTTTGTACATAAACTTATGCTTTAGTGTATCTTCTTTGTTATAATTAATGATCTTTTAAAATTCTACTTTCTCTGATATTAATATTACTGTTTATGCTTTATTTGAGTTATCATTTGCTAAGTTCAACCTGGTCTACCCTTACTTTTCAAATTTTTGGAACTAAATTTGGAGTCAGTTACTAAGGCATAATAAGTTTGGCACAGGGCATAATTGGGGGTAGCAGACATCTCACTACAGATATCCAGAGTCTGACTGGAAGGAGATGCACTTCCCTTCACTCCTTTCCGCTTCTTCAGTCACTGACCAGCGACAGTTACACGCTATCATTTGTACTCTTTTGTTCTGGAGCTTTTAACTCATTTCTACAGTGAAATGGTGGGGAGTAGAAGAGGAAAGACAGTGAGTTTAGCCTGAGTAGGTAAAGTGAACAAAGATGTCTTGGTGGTGGGGGGTGGGTAGGGGTGGAGGAGAAGTTATTCAGCTGTTCAAGATAGTGGGCAGCACCTTGGAAGCACTGTGGTCTTGAGAAGTGATAGGAGCAAGAGCATCTCCTTCACAACAGCCTCTGAGCCCAATCCTGCACACGTATCAATCATCTGCTCAAATACTGTGGGCTCCGGTTCTGTGAAGAGACACCAGTAATGTGGCCCTGAGATAGGTGCAGACCCTGAACAACCCAGAAGGTCTACCTACCACACCTCCTACAAAAAATCCCCTCCTCCTTTTGGCCCCAGAGACAGACAGAGCATGTCTCTCAGTGCATTGGCAATTATGACATGTTTTACAACTATAAGAGCTGATACTTTAATGCCAAAATGGGGCACAGGGTGGAGGTGGGGAGAAGGGTCAGTTGCACCCCTCACCACTGCTTTCTGGTCTGGTGAGAGCCTCTAGGAAGGGCTCCAGAGGATTCTCAGGCACAAGGTGATAATAAAAAGCAGATGAACAACTTCAGTTGGCTTTATTATTTTTGAAAACTCTCTATAGAAGATGCATCCTTTATTGCCTGCACCTAGGGCAGACTGCTTCCACAGCTCCCCCACCCCCACCTCTTGGGAAGCCACTGCTGAGTTCTCACATAGATCTCAAAAACTCACAATGCAGGTATCCCATAAAGTTCCACCATCCTCTTTTATTAAAAATTCCTCTCATAGACATGCTAGTTTTGTCTGCTATTTGAGGAAAGCTGAGAAATCTCATGTCTTCCTGCCTACAGGAGATTCCAGAGAGGAATGGGTACTGTTTCCTAGAAGATTAGGTAAGATTAGTCACAGAAAAGAGTTTAACCAGGAAGGCTTTGATTAAGGTCAGCAGAGTCCAAATGAGGCTTTCCGTCAATAATCATGGTATTTTCTTCATTTGATATCAAAAAGAGGGAATTATCTCTATTATCCTGAACAAATTATTAAAAAGTATGTACCTAAGGCTCCTCTTTTTAAAAGATGAGTCAATAATATCTGCCCTGTATTTCCCCCAAAATTGTTCTGTAACAATAAGAAGATGACCCAACAAAATCTGGGCAATGTGGCAACAAGAGTTGGACAGAACCTTTCCTGCCTATTACTCGCCGAGAAACAGGCCTCTTCATCTGGACTTCTGGGCCTCCTATTCCAAAAGTAAAGAAATGACCTCTTACTAAAAGGTATCATCAACTGAAAAAGATACACAACATAAAAGCTGAGAATTATGTTTTATTCAGTAGACTTCCTAAGGACTTAAGCCCAGAAGATTGCTCTGAGGGACGGTTCTGAAGAGGGAAGGGAGGAGCCAGGATATGTAGGAGTTTTTGCAACAAAAACCAGGCTGTCGGAACATCAAAAGATGACTGTTAATTAAAGAAAACCAGGGGCTTCCCTGGTGGTGCAGTGGTTGAGAATCTGCCTGCCAATGCAGGGGATGCGGGTTCGAGCCCTGGTCTGGGAAGATCCCACATGCCGCAGAGCAACTAGGCCCGTGCGCCACAACTACTGAGCTTGTGCGTCTGGAACCTGTGCTCCGCAACAAGAGAGGTCATGATAGTGAGACGCCCGTGCACGATGAAGAGTGGCCCCCGCTTGCCACAACTAGAGAAAGCCCTCACACAGAAACGAAGACCCAACACAGCCAAAAATAAATAAATAAATAAATAAACAAATAAATAAATAATAAAAATTAAGGAATTCCTTAAAAAAAAACCAACCAAACAAACAAAGAAAACCAGACATCTCAAGTTAATGAGTTTAGCTCTTTTCTACATATGGGGAAATGCAAGAGTCTGGCTCACTGAAATCATTCCTTCGATATCCACCTTGGCTATCTAAGGCCAGTATCATGTTCTTTTCCATCCTGAATCCCCTCAGGGTGCACTGCTGGAGGTGGCTGCAGTGGCTGAGGGCTTGATGGCTGCAACATCCTTTGTTTACTGATATGGCAGGCGTCCACAGTATATTCCACATGCTCCTACTGAGTATATATATATACTCATTGTCTATTATTGTACAGACATGGATTTACTGGTCTTTATTTTCTTTGTGCTAAGTACATTTTGAACCAACACGAGCCTGATACCTTTATTATCATTATTACTATTTATTTTTTTGAAATAAGACATACCTACATAAAATTATATAAATCATAAGGGTATATAGGTCAATTATTTTTCACTAGTTAAGCATATCCTTGTAATCAGCACCCAAATAAGACATAGAGCATGAGCAGCACCCCAGAGGTCTTCCCCGTGTCTCCTTCCAGTTACTGCCAACCCTGCCTCCTAAGGGTAACCACTATCCTAACACAGCCATAAATTAGTTTTCCTGGCAGCTCTTTAACAGAAGACACGCCACTTCCATGTAGTTGCTGATAGCTCCCTCATTTTTGCTATGTAAGTGTTTTATGATTTAATAAAGGACAGAGAAAAGGTGGGTAGAGTACAAGACAGATACAGAAGATAGGACCGGACATTATCTTCTCCATAAAATATTGTCAGTTAGGACCAGTGTGTCATTTCTAGTAGGCGTGTGATCTTGTAATATTTTTGGTAAAGGAAAGCTTAATGAAGTTGGAACTATTGTGTTTCTTTCGTCTCAGATAAATTGCAAAATACCATTTATAGAAATTTTTAAAGAGAAGGAAAGCATTTCTCTGTGGCTTAACATGATACTTGTCCAAACTTGGAAGAATTAGAGATGTACCGTATAATATAACAGTGCCATCTTAGTTTTTTTAAAGCCCTTTTACTGCAATATCCCCCAAAGTACAAACAGAATCCAAATACCAGATCTTGCCCAGATCACCAATAAATTTCCTGGGTGAGGAGAAGAGAGTTGGGGGCAAGAGATGAGGGCAAGGGGAGGGACCAGGGACTTTGTGCCAACTGACTCAGGGCAGGAAACCTAGTTCCCTTTCCTTTCCCCCCATATCAAATTCTCAACTGCATTCCACTGTCTGACTGGGCTGACCACAGCTGTGGTTGTTTCCAAAATGAAGATGGAATCTAGCCACACTCGGATTTAGTATTCTCTAGAACTGCTGTTCTTCTGGGCATTATTTTTAGAAGTATCACATTGCATAGGTGCTTAATTTTTCTAACTGGCTTTTGGAAAATTTTGCAAATACTTTTCCCCCCTAAATGTAAAAGACTGATGTAAGAGGCTTCTATTCATTATATTTTTCCTTTGGGATATCCTTACCCCAATGGAAAAAGACAATATGATTGCTTGACCCAGCTATCTGCCCAAAATAATGTTGTTGGGTTTTTTTTCCAGAGTGGATAAATTATAATAGCTCAACACAGCTGCATACTTGAGCATAAGTCTACAAAGTAAGAGACTGTATGGTGACTTCTTGTTACAGCTCTATCTGATTTAGATCAACCAACATTCTCTAAGAGCTTATGGTGTACCAGGCACAGTGACACAGATGACAAAATGACAAATAAGAATTTGTCCCTGCCCATAGGAGCTCACAGAGCAAGTAGCACAACAAACACAAAACCAATAATTACCATACAACAATTGCTTGTTAAAATGAAAGTACTATGTATAATATTTTGCAGAAGAAGAACTTATTAACTCTCAGAGAATGTATGGTCTGGGAGAAAGTCACAGAGGGGGTGTTACAGCAAAGACAAGGACCAGACATGCCAGAGAAAAGGAACAAAAAATGCAAAGGCCCAGAGGAATGGCATAGCCCACTGTTCTTCAGAAACTCAAAGGTGATGATTGTCTCAGTGTAAGCTGAAGGGTAGCAGTTGGTGAGAATGAAGCAGAGGGTTGGGGTCAGATCATGGAGGGACTTCATCTTCTAAAGAGTTTTAAGCAAAGGGCCAATATGGTTAGATGTGCAGTTTAAGGATTGACTCTGGCATAAAAGAAGCTCAATTAGAGGAGGATGAAAATGGAAGCAAGAAGCTCAGTTAAGAAATAGTGTTGATCTCAGGCCTTAAAATATGCCAAGGCTTTAGTTTCATGCACACTCTCATTCTCACCCTGGCCCGTTCTCTTGCTCACTCCCTCTAATTTTTATTACTGCCTTTCTTTCTCCATACCCCTATAACCCTTCCTCATGCTTTATATAACACTGTAGAAATCTTAGGAAAAATCCTTAAAAATATCCCACATCATCCCACAGCCAATATACCCAAGAACTAAAAAGAATTTAGAAAAAGAAGAGAGAGGTTAGTACGACCCATTGATATAATACATCCTATTAATTTTTCCCATTATTATAAGTATGTTAGGGAAGGTACCCATTAAAAAATAGACTTGTCTGGTAGTCTATCTGCAGGCTTTGTTTAAATGATGGCAGACTTGGTAGCAGAGCCAGATATGGTTTCACTACTATAACGAACACCAAAGGAGAAAGTTTATCATTACTAGTGACCTGCTGGTATGCCTACCCTGCCCCAGAGTATTTGCTTGGCCTTTAGCCCTTGACCAACCGTCTCTGACCTGTCACTGGTTGTCCTCATGGGCTGTGACACAGGTGATTCCTCTGCATACTTCTGTATGGACTGGTTGGCATCTTTGTGTCCCGCTGCTATCTGGAAGGCATGGGTTTACAGGGGTAAAGGGAGGAGACCGTCTATGGTAGTGGATCCTGCTCTATTTCTAGATATACAGATGGGCCACAGTTTGACCAGTTAGGGTGAACAAGACTTTGAAGAAAACTAGAAGACTGCCAAAGGATCCCCAGATGAACAGGTATAGATGAATCTAGCAGGGAGAAATGATTTGCACTTTCAATATAAGTAGTGTATATGAATCTCAGGAGAGGGAAACACGGGGAATTTTTTTTAATCTAAAGTTATTATTTAAAATTTTCTTTAAGTCAAAATGTTCATTCATTTAGAAAATGTAAATGTAGTAGAAGGAGAGTTTGGGATATTTGTATTTGTGAAAGGGGAACAGTTTTGTTGTTGTTTCTTTTCTTTTTCTTTTTTCTTTCTTTATTTTTTTTAATACTGAGAAACACTGCTCTAACCTGCCTGTCTAATTCACCATGAATGGAAGAAAACACAGTAGAGTGATCAGCCAGAAGAAAATAAAAGCTCAAATTCAACACCTGATTCAGTGGTTTAGTAGATATCTTTCCTTCACTATGCTTCAGTTTTCCCTATAAAGTTAAGAAGTAATTCTTTGACTCTAAAAGGAAATGAATCCAGCTATTATCCTTTGCAAGAGATAGTCAGAAGGGCATGCCTTTAAAATTTGCATAAATATATGCAAAGCCTGTTTGCAAGGAGCAATTTAATAAAATGTTTAAAGTGTATTCAAAGAACAAGGAAAACTTGTTCATTTCCTAAGTAGGTTTTGATATTTCCCTTTAAAGCAAAAATAAAATTTACTTGCTGCATAAAAATGAATTTATTAGGATCAAGAATTACATTGCATAATAAATAAGGGGTTTTTAGAGCTTTTAGAGATCCTGAATATTTCATTATGGCATAATGAAAAGAATACCAATTTATCAGTCAGAAAAATCTGGGTTCAAAATCCAACCTAAATTTCCACTGCTGGCCAAGATGGAGTAAGCCAACTACATCCTATCTCTCCTACTGATTACAGAACACTTGAGCAACACTATCAATCAACTTAACCTGCTTAACACTTAAAGGAAACTCCAACAACAGTAGAATATACATTTCTTTCAAGTGCACATGGAAATTCATGATGATAGATCAAATCCTGGGCCACTATGCAAATCATAACAAATTCAAAATAATTGAACAATAATAATTTGTTCTCTGATCAAAAGGAATTACATTGGAAATCAATTACTTTCTAGAAAATTTCCAAATGTTTGAAAATTAAATGGCACACTTTTAAATAATTCATGGGTCAAATAGGAAGTCTCAAAGAAGATCAGAAATTATTTTGAACTGACTGAAAATGAAAAAAAAACATATCAAAACTTATGGGATGCAGCTACAGCAGTGCTCAGAAGGAAATTTATAGCATTAAATGCTTATATTGGAAAAGAAGAAGGATCTGAAATCAATAATCTAAGTTTTAATGTGAAAATACCAGGAAAAAAAGCAAATTGAACTCAAAGTAAGCAAAAAAAAAAAAAGAAATGATAAATATAAAAGCATAAGTCAATAAAATTGGTTAAATAAAGAGTAGAGGAAATCAAGGTGAAAAAAGTTTATTCTTTAAAAGATCAATAAAATTGATAAACCACTATCTAGATTGATCAAGAAAAAATAGAAGACCATAAACCTTACAGACATTAAAAGGGTAATAAGAGAATCCTACAAGCAACTCACTGCCAGTAAATTATACAACTCAGATGATTTGGACCAATTTTTGAAAGAGATAAACTGTCAAAACTCATTCAAGAAAAAATAGTTAATTTTCCTATATCTATTCATTGAATTTCACTTATAAACTTTCCAAAAATGGAAAATTCAGGCCTGGATGGTTTCATTGGTCAATTCTACCAAACATTTAAGAAAGAAAGAATGAAAATCTATACAAGTTCTTTCATAAAACACAAGAGGAGGGAACACTTCCCAACTCATTTTAGGAAGCCAATATTACCTTGATATCTAAACTAGAGAAAGACAGAAAAGAAATAAAAATCATACTTACTGGGAAGGAAGAAACAAAACAGTCTCTATTCACAGATGATAGAGCTGTCTATGTAGAAGCCCAAGAAACCTAAAAAAAAAAAAGGTGAGTTTAGCAAATTCACAGGATAGAAGTCCAATACACAAAACAAAGCACATTTCTAAATACTAGCAATGAACATTTGGAAGTCAAAAATTTTAAAAACGGTCCCAAGCATAGTGGCATATAGAGGATGCTCAATAAATATTTGTTGAATAAGTGTTCAATTTAGCTTTCAAATGTATTCTATTTTTGTTTTTCAATAAATTTACATTTCAAAATATGTTCTTCTCGGTGTTATTAACATGGTCTGATATACTCCAAAGTATAACAATTACTCATGGACAGTAGCAGCTGAGAATAAGCTAGGTAGCTAGAAGATAGCTAGAAGCAGGCTTAAAACATTATAATGAATAGTCTACCTTAAGCTTCTAGTAGAATTTTAGTTTCCTATAACTCATATGTAATATGCTCTGTACATTTGGGTCAATTAACGTATATCAGAAAAATTGAAAAATTACATTCTATTTGCATTGTCTTAGTGATCTTACGTACATTGAATTTATTCATCTTTCAACACAAAAAAGGAAGAAAAATTCTCAAGAATAACATTGCTAATAATAGCAGGAGATTAGGTCGTCAAATATTAGCATTATACATCCATTCCAACCCTCCATTTAGAATGAGAAACCACAGTATTTCTTGTTAGATAGGAATACATCTTTCATGAAGTAAACACATATTTATTGGTTATTTGTGATGAATTTTACTTTTGCATTATTATATTCATAAAACTGGAGTTCTTTCTAATAGCTATAGCACATATTCTATTTTAGTGGGTGAAACAGAGAAGGTTTAAGGTCTTTCTTTGAGGCACCAAGATGCAAACATCGTTCATCTTAAAGCATTCAGTAATAAAACTATTTGTATCCAACTGTTCAAGCAGACAAATGGTCTATAAATCTATAAATGAAAAAAATGAAATAAGAGCTTTAAAATGCTAAATATATAACCAGTTCATCTCTTGATATAGAGAAAACGGTTACTTTATATATAAAAATTGTACTTAAGATTTCTTTTTATTTCAGAAACGAAATTGAGTTATTTGTGGTGAGGCGGATGGACCTAGAGTCTGTCATACAGAGGGAAGTAAGTCAGAAAGAGAAAAAAAATACCATATGCTAACACACATACATGGAATCTAAAAAAAAAAAAACTGGTTCTAATGAACCTAGGGGCAAGACAGGAATGAAGACACAGACCTGCTAAAGAATGGACTTGAGGACATGGGGAGGGGGAAGGGTAAGCTGGGACGAAGTGAGAGAGTAGCATTGACATATATACACTACCAAATGTAAAATAGATAGCTAGTGGGAAGCAGCTGCATGGCACAGGGAGATCAGCTCGGTGCTTTGTGACCACCTAGAGGAGTGGGATAAGGAGGGTGGGAGGGAGACGCAAGAGGGAGGGGATATGGGGATATACGTATGCATATAGCTGATTCACTTTGTTATATAGCAGAAACACACCACTGTAAAGCAATTATACTCCAATAAAGATGTTTAGAAAAAGATTTCTTTTTATTTCAACACAAACACTTATTTGGTTTGTGGTCTATAATCAGAAGATATTCATCATAAATCACTATTCTTGCACTGAATGGAAAATTTCAACTAGAAATAAGGAAGACAGTCAATGACTCACTTTGAAATCACCAACAGAAAAGCCTTAATTATTTTGAAATCTATGGTTTTTTATTTCCTTCCTTTATATGGTTGCTTTTGTTTGCATAATTTTAGAGTGATTTTAAGTTAACACTGTCATCGTTCCATAGAATAAAACTGCTGTTATAGTGATAAGTTGTTTGGAAGCATGTGAGCATTGGGGAGGTAAATTAATGTAGTCAATAAGCTTTAGCTTTTTTTAATCAGAAAGACTTAAGTTTAAATCCAAGTTCTCTCACTTATTTGCTATGTGACTTACACAGTAAATTATTTAACCTCTTTGAGCTTTGTTTGGCTGTTTTTTCTAACCTTAAAATGAGAATAATACATAACATTGAGTTGTATTAGAAGAGATGTATTGTTGAGAAAATTAAAAGAGATAGTATGTAAAATTCCAGGTGCATGATTTCTCATTAGATGGCACTTTTTATTATTATCTAGTCTGTCCTTACATAATTATATAAGCCCATGTATTTTAAAGAGTTCACATATTTTAGTTTTTACTCTTGGATCTCTTTTGTCTGGTGAGCCTCATTATATCTTGTAGGGGAGGATCACTGGATGCAGCTATTCCTTTTTAACCAATTTTCAGAAGACCAGTGGGGATTGTGTATAGCAGACACAGCTGGCTGTCTACTCAAGTGGCTTTCAAACTCTGATCTGTACTAAGAAATTCATTTTACATCATGACCGAATATACACACAGATAACTCATAAATTTCATAAACCACGTTAGTGCCAACTAAGTATGATGAGCTTATTATTTCTACTTATTTTATTCCATTTTATTTAATTTTTTAATGTCAATTACTCTCCATTAAATTGCTTTCACAATCCACTAATGGGTTGCGATCTAAAATTTGAAGAATATTATTTTACCCAATACCCGTCCCCTTCCTCCTTACTTCTTTGCTTAAAAACTTCATTCAGAAGTGACTTCAAATAATGTATCCCTTCAATGAAGTCAATCCAGTTTAAAGGCAAATACTGATTGGGCTGCCCTTGTCGATGATTAGTTCGGGGTGTGCATATAGTATAGTTCTGACCAATGTGAGGAGAGTAAGGAGAGATTACCTCTCTGGTTTCTTTTCTTGTAAGGGCACGGAGTCCCATGCATGAGGACTCCATTCTCATGACCTAATCACCTCCGAGAGGCCCGCATTCCTAACACCATCACACCGGGGATCAGGATTTCAACATATGAATTTGAGGGGAGCTGGGAGTGGGGACAGAAACATTCAATCCATTGCACCTGGGAAAAAAGATCTTAATATAGATAGGCAGAAAAAGGAGCAACTCTTTATCCAAATTCACTGCCCCTAAAAAACTAGTTGGTTATCATTTAATTATGGTCAGTTGTCCACCAACCCATAAGTAAAATCTTTTATATAGAATGATATACAAACTATGCCATGCTTTTTAGTGAACTGAAATTTGAAATAGCAAATATTTCTTGTTATTTCTAATATATGGTTATAAAAAGGTGATTGTCAGCAATTTACAAACGCACTTCAATAAGCAATATGCTACTCATTATTTTTAAAGTGCACATTAAACGTAAAGACCTAATGTTAGCAACCTTGGGGGTAAAAGCAATGATTAGTAAACCTCTGCTCTTCTTGCGTAGAGTAAAGGCTGTCAAATATGACTACTTTCATATACGACAGAATCACTGACTAGGCATTGAAAAAAATTCAGTGAGCTATCTGGTTGATTAATATAGAGGATATGTGGTATCCAGTTAAACTATTTTCTATAGCTGCTTCAAGTGATGTTAGGTGGGTTTGCTGTCGTGGCTGCATTCAGCTGGTGGCTAAGCTGAGCAAGAAAGTTCAAGAAGGTCTCTCTCATGTGTCTGGGGCTTTGGTGTTATTGACTGGGGCATTTCAGTTATTCCCTGTGTAGCATTTCTTTCCATGTAGTACCTGCCTCCAAGGATCTGCCACATCTCTAGAAGGATAGCTTGGACTTCTCAAGATACCATGTTCCAGTTTTAAATATCTCTGTGCATTGATTTCATCTGAGAAGTAAAATTAATTTACTTTTGGAATAGCTCCTCATTTATTTTCATTTCCCATTGTGAAAATAAATTGAGGTGTCCAGACTTAAATTTGGAAAATATTTTTAACTTTACAAAAGTATTTTCCAAAAGTAACAAAGACTTCTGTTTTTTAAACACAAAAAACATGTTCTCAGGGAAATGTGTCTTGAAAGGAGAAAAAAGAATTTTTTCCCCTAAGATTATAAAACATTAGGCTACTTGGTTCAATGTATTGTCTCCCCTTCCTTCCTTCCTTCCTTTCTTCCTTCCTTTCTTCCTTCCTTCCCTTCCTTCCTTCCTAAGTGCTTTAAAATCAGAATTTATTGTGTGTTAAATTATTAAAAGTTTCTCTAGAGTTTCCTAAAGCGTTTGTGAAATGTTTGCTTGAGAAACTGGAGGAAAAAAAGGTTACAATAGCAAACATTTAATAACATATCACTGTGAAAAAAAATCCTCTATAGTAAGTGATAAAAAGATTAGATAATCTTCTCTGAGAATGGAAGAAATCTAGACTTTAAAAAATTCCATTATCTTTACAATCCATTATACTTAGACTTAAAAAATCCCTGAGGTTAACAAAGCAATTTTTCTCAGATTCAGGATAGTTATAAAATTCCAAATATGTAATCAATTAAAGAAAAAGGAGCCATCAATAATTAGAAAATTTGAGTCTATTTGCAGCATTGTCAAGGATATACATGTGTTAAAAGAAACCATTGCCCTTGATAATAAGATTGCAAACATTGTTATTGGTGTTCAAGAGGAAATAAGATAAATATTCTTTTATACATATTTGAGTTGTTTTTTGAACTCCCAGCAGAGAACCAGTTGGCATCAACACTTTCATACAGGATAATCAAACATAAATTATTTCTTAAGCTAATAAATAGTTAGCTTTCACTCTAAGAATTTAACCAGAACTTTCACTCATGTTCTTCTCTGCTTCAGAAATTAACAGTTGTTTGTTAAATGCTCATGGATGTTTGTTATGACTGTACTGTATTACAATAACATAAATATTCATAATACATTTAATAACAAAGTAGATATTACCTCTAAGTTTAACTTATATTCAAGCTTAAAAAAGTAGTATTAAATTTTCAAAGCTTTTTATGATGAGTCTAGAGAGGAAAGTAAAATATGTAGATGTCATCTCTTATAAACTCTTAGCACATCCAGAAGCCTATGAAGTATTCTCTACCATTTTTTATTCCCATCTTTATCAGCCAGAAAAATATTTTCAATGTCATAAATGATCTCGGGGCAAAGACAAAGGCCCAAAGTGCCAACAATAAAACACAGTATCAGGGTTATAATAAATTAGAGGCTGTAAGACCCTTTAAGATTTTAGAATGATGTCAAGCAATGCCTCATAGGCCCTGAAGGCTACAGAATAAATACTGTGGGCATTTTCTACAGCACTTGGATTCTCAGCCCAAGGTAGAAGGGGCCTGCCTAGAAGAGATTTATGGAAGTGGCTTTTGTCTAATGGGGTGGACTAATTTGCTAAATAAGGCTCACACAATTTTTAAGAAAATTATATTGATGAAGATACCATCAGTCAACTAAAAGAGAAGCAGTTCAAAAGGAAAAGTCTAGTCCCCTCAATTCTCTACAAGTCTTTTCTTCTTAAGTCTTTTTCTCTTAAGCTCTCCTCTACAAACAAAAATATTGCTGTATCAATTATCTATTGCCACATAAAAAAAAATCCCAAAACTTACTGGCTTAAAACAATGATTTTAAAATTTCTCATGTTTCTGTGGATTGACTGGTCATTCTTCTGCTTCAAATGGCGTCAGCTGGAATCACTTACATGGCTGTATTCAGATAGTTGCTAAGCTGAGCTAGAAGGTTCAAGAAGGCCTCTCTCACATGTCTGAGGCCTTGAAAATGTGATTGATTGGGGCATCTCATTTCTTCCCTATATGGTCTTTCTCTCCATGTGGTGTCTCTAGGGATTCCCCATGTGATCCTTCTCTCCAGCAGGATAGCATGGAATTCTAGCATGACGGCTCAGGACTCCAGGAGCATGAAAATGGAAACTGTCAGGCCTTATTTTCACCACATTTTATTGGTCAAAGTAAGTTACAAGGCCGGCCTAGATTGAAGGGGAAGGAAAATGGACCCCACTCCTCGAAGAGAAGAGTGGTATGCTTGTACGGGGAGGGGAAGAATTATTTGGGGGCCAACTTTGACAACTATCATAGTCCACCATCTGGCCACAATTCTTGTCCCACCTACATGCAAAACTATACTCACCCCGTACCCTAAAAGTCTCATCCCATGGTGACATTAGTTTAAGTTCAATATCTTATCATCTAAATCAGGTCCAGATGTGGAAAAAAATGCCTCAGGTATTGTTCCTCAGGTGCAGCTACTTGGGAGTGGCTTCTCTCAGTCCAGATTTTCTAGGATAGAAAAACCACACAAACACTCCCAGTCAGAAAGGGGGTCAGGGAAACGGGAGACACAAAACTACAATTGTTGTTGAGGGCCTCTACACTAAAGGCAAGGGATAGTCTTTGATTGTGGTTCTGTTCATCCCTTTAGTGGTGATTTCCTAATCCATCCCTCACCTTGCTTCTTGGCTCCTCCCTCTGGGATTCTGGCTCTGCCCGCCAGCCATTCTTCCTTCTTCCTAAGAAAAGGAAAGCACTGGGTTGGAAATATTTCCTCTAAACTCTTCTTTTAAATTGAACAGTTCCTTCGTTAGCTCATTTCTCTCTTCTTGTACATTATCATCCATAGCTGTACAAAGTTAATTGGTACTTTCATCACTCTGCCTGGAAATCTCCTTAAGACATCTATAAACTCACCAAGTTCACTTTCTATGTTCTTTGTTATGGCAGGCAGAAGTATTGCCAAGCATTCTGTTACCATATAACTCAGGTCCTACATTTTCCAGCATTTGATAATTTCCTTACTGGCTTTTTCCACCCTCTACTAAGAGTCTGTTTACTATTCTTCAAGGCTAATAGCCTTCTAACCACCTGTATTATGTTTCTCCTGCTTGTGTAATATAACACCAAACTTAGCAGGCTTAACCAACACAAATTTATTATTATATAGTTCTGTAGGTTAGAAGCACAACACTGATCTCACAGGAATAAAATCAAGATGTTGGCTGAACAATATTCCTTTCTGGAGGCTCTTAGAGAAGAATATGTTCCCTTGACTCTTCCAGCTTCTAGAGGCTGCCCACATTCTTTGGCTTGTGGTTCCCCTCGCCCATCTGCAAAGCCAGCAACAGAGTCTTAATTTCGAATCACTCTGACCTCCTCTTATGTATCCCTCTTCCACTTTAAGGACCCTTGTGTTTATATTGGCCCATCTGGATAACCCAAGGTAACCTCTACATCTCAAGATCCTTAATCACATCTGCCAAGTCCCTTTTACCATGTAAGGTAACATATCCATAGTTTCTGGGGATTAGGATGTGGATATCTTGAGGTAGGGGAGCATTATTCTGTCTACCACAATGACCTTTCAGCCTCCACTAGCAGTCTTCTTGCCACTCTTCCAATCCCCAACCTGCTACCTAGTCTTAAAGCCAGTACCATATGTTTCTGCATTTTGTTAAGATTACATGCTACTCCAGATGCCAATTTCTCTATCTGTTGCTGAATAACAAATCACCCCCCAAAATGTAGTGTTTTAAAATAATAACAATCATTTATAAATTCTCTTAATTCACTGTTTGACTGTTTATATTTTTTGCTCCCCATGTGTGCTGGGGTCACTTCTGCAGCTGCATGCAGCTGATCTCACTCAGTCACCAAATGTAGGAAGGGCAGGACCTGAAGCAAAGTGGCTCCCTGCAGTTGAGCTAGACTGTGAAGAAACTGGAAGCTGGAGGTTGCTGACCTCATTCCTTGCGGTTGGTCAGCAAGTCCTTTCTTGAAGATGAATCTGGGCAGCATATCTCTTTGCTTACCACAATCCACCCTTGCTTCATATAGGTCTATTTCTCCATGTATGTTTAGGAAGCAGCTCCTACAAGAGTGAAGGGGCCTCTTTTCCTGAGGGGAACTTAGAAGATAGAGGTTAGTGGGACAAACTACAGTCCCTACTGCTGTAGTAAGGCTGTAGAATACAATCAATACTTGTCATCTCCCCCCTCCACTATCAATTCTAGATTTCCCTCATCCTCCACTACCACCTCTGCTGCTGTTGTTGTCTTACCTGGTGTTGTGACCTAGACCCTCATTCCTTGAGGGGTCTGAGTTTCTGCCATCATGCATTTATCAGGATGGAATTGCTATACCTTCTCTTTATATTCACAATTTGTTAAGTGGGCTCCATATTCACTCTTTCCTGCCTTAATGGTGAGTGTAACAGGATCCCTATCTCCTTCTGATGATCAGAGTCAATTATCCCTGGCAAGAAGGTGTCCCCTTTTCTTGCCTGCTGGTCTCTGGGCACAAGGAGCCCAAAGTACCCAGGTAGCAGCTGCAGCTTATATTTCAATGGAATTTTTGCTCTATTTCTTAGAAGTGCATCCCTTTTAGGGACCAAGACCTCTCAATATGCAGAGTTCAGAGTTGTGAAGGTAGGAAACATAAATAGCACTTTAAGGGTCATTAGAAGTGATTGTAAGGGCTAGGGACACTTCTGCTTTCACCCCTTGGCTCCTAGACTCATATTTTTTGTACTGAGGCACAGTGCCATACAAATATCTTTGATCGAATGCATATAATACATCTTGGAGTATGGCACCTCACTCTTTCAGAGTATTGCCTCTGAACTGGTATTCAGCTGTACCTTCAGCAGGTTGCTCCGAGGCCCTATCAAACTGGCAGTTTCTGGGTGGTGAGATACGTGACATTATCAGTGGATCCCGTGGATAAGGGTCCACTCCTGCACTTCCTTTTTTTGCAAAACAGGGTCCCTGGTTTGATGTGACATTATGTGAGATCTCATGCTAGTGAATCTAATATTACATAACACTCAGATGGTGGTACTGGCTGAGGCTCTTTGGGTAGGAAAAGCAACCCCATATCTGGAATATGTGTCTATTCCCGTAACAAGAAATAGGTGGTCACTCCAGGATGGAAGGGGCCTAACGTAGCCAACTTGACACTTGGTCTCCAGGAATGGTGTCATATCGGGAGCTCAGTGTTGCTCTCTATTGCTGGCAGTTTGGGCATGCAGCAGCAGCAGAAGTTAAATTAGCCTCATCAGTTGAACCCACACTCTGTCTTCATCCCTTCTCCAGTGGACACTCCATTCATATGCCCAAGGGCCAGCACCAGTTGGCCAATGACTGAGGCAGATGATGTCAACTGGGCGATTTATTCAGTCTTCTTTATTGTTTAGTGCCTCTTCAGTAGTGGATGCTCTCTGGTGGGTGTTACATGTGACACAAAGACCTTCACTGTTCATGCTCACGCTCAGTGCCAATATGTCCATCCATAGGCCTCTATTTCAGACTTCCTGTGGTTGATCTTCCAATATTTCTTCTCCTAGGACAATCGCCAGTTCAGCCACTCAGACTACTCAGTTCTGGACAAGCCTTGTGTGCAACCAAAGAGGCCCACTTTCTGTAGAGCATCAGTGGTACTTAGCCATCCAATTCTGGTATTCTTAACTCTATGAGTTCCTTCATGAGTCTCAAGTACCTGATATCCTGCACTCACCAGTTCATTCTCTTCCACAGGTGAACTCTCTCATTTTACCACTGGTGAAAGCTGCCACCTTGAGCCAGGGGCTCCTTATGTTCCATGTGCCACATGTGATGGGTTCCTCACAGGCACCTTAGACCACTGCTGGGACCAACTGTCACAGTTCGGTTCTTTGAACATCCTGAGGTGGAATTTGGCCTGCAAGATATTTATCACAGAACACTTGTCAAGGGAAGGGGAAGAAGCAGATCGTGAAGAGGAAGAAGTCAAGCTGCAAAGGAGGAAGCTCTGGAGTGAGTTTTGCCTGACATAATGTGATGCATTAGGCTGAAATGGCAAGGGTTTTACATCCCCATTGTGTTCGGTCCTCAGATCTAGGGAGGATGTGACCTCAGGTAAAGTGTTTCCTACAGCTGCTGCAGATGAAGTGCTGACAGCTGGAGAATTTCTGTCCTCCACACTTCCTGAGGTTCATCAAGTCTTTCCTGGAAGGGGGATCAAGGCAGCACATCTCCATATCTATCAGAGCACCTAATCCATTTGCAAATCATCTTTGGCTCTAACTTCAAATATATCCAGGATCTGACCATTCCTTACCACTCTTTTATTATCATGACTGCTCTTGTCCAAGCAAGTATCATCTTTCACATGGACTATTGAAATAGTATTCTAATTAATCTTCCTACTTAACTCCTTACCCTTTTACAGTCTATTTTTCACAAATGAGTCAGAATAATCCTTTAAAAATATAAGTCAAATCTTGTCACTCCTTTGCTTAAACCCTCCAATGGCTTCATATCTCACTCAGAGTAAAATCCAAACAACTACCATGGTCTCCAAAGCATTAAAGATGTGACCCCTTATCCCTACTCCACTATGATCCAGTCCTCAACCACTTTTTCCCCTCCCACAAGTTGGTCCAGCTAAACTGGCCTCCTGCCTATTTCCCAAACATGCCAAGTATATTGTTGCCTCAGGGCCTCTGCACATACTTGTTCCCTTTCCTCAGAATGCTATTCTTTGGGTTATCTGCACACTCACTTTCTCTCCCTTCATTCAGGTCTCTGCTCGATTCTACCTTATTGAGGCTCTCCAAGATGACCTTATTTAAAATAGCATCTTTCGTGCACCAGCCACTGTTTGTCTCTTACTCTGCTTTACTTTCCTTCTCAGCACTTATTACCTAATGTGCTTTATCCATTACCTAGAAAAGAATCTGGCATGTAGTAGGCAACCAAAAATTTCTGTTGAGTGGATGAATCCTGGCATTTCCCTTTGCTGCTTACTTGATGCCCTCTCCTCCCTTTTGGTTTCTCCCTTCTTTTCTTTCCCCATATCTCCTCCCTCTTGGGTCTCCCTCCCACCCTCCCTATGCCACCCCTCTAGGTGGTCACAAAGCACTGAGCTGATCTCCCTGTGCTATGCGGCTGCTTCCCACTAGCTATCTATTTTACATTTGGTAGTGTATATATGTCCATGCCACTCTCTCACTTCGTCCCAGCTTATGCTTCCCCCTCCCTATATCCTCAAGTCCATTCTCTACTTTTGTGACTTTATTCCTGTACTGCCCCTAGGTTCTTCAAAACCTTTATCTTTTTCTCTTTTTAGATTCCATACATATGTGCTAGCATACGGTATTTATTTTTCTCTTTCTGACTTACCTCACTCTGTATGACAGTCTCTAGGTCCATCCACCTCACTCCAAATAACTCAATTTCGTTTCTTTTTACGACTAATATTCCATTGTATATATGCGCCACCTCTTCTTCATCCATTCATCTGTCAATGGACACTTAGGTTGCTTCCATGTCCTGGCTATTGTAAATAGAGCTGCAATGAACAACGTAGTACATGACTTTTTTGAATTATGCTTTTCTCAGGGTATATGCCTTGTAGTGGGATTGCTGGGTCATATGGTAGTTCTATTTTTAGTTTTTTAAGGAACCTTCGTACTGTTCTCCATAGTGGCTGGGTAAGTTTACATTCCCACCAATAGTGCAAGAGGGTTCCCTTATCTCCACACTCTCTCCAGCATTTCTTCTTTGTAGATTTTTTGATGATGGACATTCTGAATGGTGTGAGGTGACACCTCATTGTAGTTTTGATTTGCATTACTCTAATGATTAGTGATGTTGAGCATCCTTTCATGTGTTTGTTGGTAATCTGTATACCTTCTCTAGAGAAATGTCTACTTAGGTCTTCTGCCCATTTTTGGATTGGGTTATTTGTTTTTTGATATTGAGCTGCATGAGCTGCTTGTAAATTTTGGAGATTAATCCTTTGTCAGTTGCTTTATTTGCAAATATTTTCTCCCATTCTGAGGTCTGTCTTTTCATCTTGTTTATGGTTTCCTTTGCTGTGCAAAAGTTTTAAGTTTCATTTGGTCCCATTTGTTTACTTTTTTTGTTTATTTCCAATTCTCTAGGAGGTGGGTCAAAATGGATCTTCCTGTGATTTATGTCATAGAGTGTTCTGCCTATGTTTTCCTCTAAGAGTTTTATAGTGTCTGGCCTTATATTTAAGTTTTTAATCCATTTTGAGTTTATTTTTCTCTACAGTGTTAGGGAGTGTTCCAATTTCATTCTTTTATATGTGGCTGTCCAGTTTTCCCAGCATCACTTACTGAAGAGGCTATCTTTTGTCCATTGTATATTCTTGCCCCCTTTATCAAAGATAAGGTGACCATATGTGCATGGGTTTATCTCTGGGCTTTCTATCCTGCTACATTGATCTATATTTCTGCTTTTGTGCCAGTACCATACTGTCTTGATAACTGTAGCTTTCTAGTATAGTCTGAAGTCAGGGAGCCTGATTCCTCCAGCTCTGTTTTTCTTTCTGAAGATTGCTTTGGCTATTCGGGTTTTTTTGTGTTTCCATAGAAATTGTGAAATTTTTCATTCTAGTTCTGTGAAAAATGCCAGTGGTAGTTTGATAGGGATTGCATTGAATCTGTAGATTGCTTTGGGTAGTATACTCATTTTCACAATGTTGATTCTTCCAATCCAAGAACATGGTATACCTCTCCATCTGTTTTATCACCTTTAATTTCTTTCATCAGTGTCTTATAGTTTTTTGCATACAGGTATTTTGTTTCCTTAGGTGGGTTTATTCCTAGGTACTTTATTGTTTTTGTTGTAACGGTAAATGGGAGTGTTTCCTTAATTTCTCTTTCAGATTTTTCATCATTAGTGTATAGGAATGCAAGAGATTTCTGTGCATTAATTTTGTAACTTGCTACTTTATCAAATTCATTGATTAGCTCTAGTAGTTTTCTGGTAGCATCTTTAGGATTCTCTATGTATAGTATCATGTCAACTGCAAACAGTGACAGCTTAACTTCTTTTTTTCCAATTTGGATTCCTTTTATTTCATTTTCTTCTGTGATTGCTGTGGCTAAAACTTCCAAAACTATGTTGAATAATAGTGGTGAGAGTGGACAACTTTGTCTTGTTCCTGATCTTAGAGGAAATGGTTTCGTTTTCTCACCATTGAGAACGATGTTGGTGTGGGTTTGTCATATGTGGCCTTTATTATGTTGAGGAAAGTTCCCTCTATGCCTATTTTCTGCAGGGTTTTTATCATAAATGGGTGTTGAAGTTTGTCAAAAGCTTCTTCTGCATCTATTGAGATGATATGGTTTTCTCCTTCAGTTTGTTAATATGGTCTATCACATTGATTGATTTTCATATATTAAAGAATCCTTGCATTCCTGGGATAAACCCCACTTGATCATGGTGTATAACTCTTTTAATGTGATTTTGGATTCTGTTTGCTGGTATTTTGTTGAGGATTTTTGGATCTATGTTCATCAGTGATATTGGCCTGTAGTTTTCTTTTTTGGTGACATCTTTCTCTGGTTTTGGTATCAGAGTGATGGTGGCCTTGTAGAATGAGTTTGGGAGTGTTCCTGCCTCTGCTATATTTTGGAATAGTTTGAGAAGGATAGGTATTAGCTCTTCTCTAAATGTTTGATAGAATTCACTTGTGAAGCCATCTGGTCCTGGGTTTTTGTTTGTTGGAAGATTTTTAATCACAGTCTCATTTTCAGTGCTTGTGATTGGTCTGTTTATATTTTCTATTTCTTCCTGGTTCAGTCTCAGAAGGTTGTGCTTTTGTAAGAATTTGTCCATTTCTTCCAGGTGGTCCATTTTATTGGCATAGAGTTGCTTGTAGTAATCTCTCATGATCTTTTGTATTTCTGCAGTGTCAGTTGTTACTTCTCCTTTTTCATTTCTAATCCTATTGATTTGAGTCTTCTCCATTTTTTTCTTGATGAGTCTGGCTAATGGTTTATCAATTTTTTTAATCTTCTCAAACAACTAGCTTTTAGTTTTATTTATCTTGCTATCATTTCATTTCTTTTTCATTTATTTCTGATGTGATCTTTATCATTTCTTTCCTTCTGCTAACTTTAGGGTTTTCTTGTTCTTTCTCTAACTGCTTTAGGTGTAAGATTAGGTTGTTTATTTGAGATGTTTCTTGTTTCTTGAGGTAGGATTGTATTGATATAAACTTCCCTTTTAGAACTGCTTTTGCTGCATCGCATAGGTTTTGGGTCGTCATGTTTTCATGGTCATTTGTTTCTAGGTATTTTTTGATTTCCTCTTTGATTTCTTCAGTGATCTCTTGGTTATTATGTACTGTATTGTTTAGCCTCCATGTGTTGTATTTTTTATAGACTTTTTTTCCTGTTATTGATATCTAGTATCATAGCATTGTGGTCAGAAAAGATACTTGATACAATTTCAATTTTTAAAAATTTACTAAGGCTTGATTTGTGACCCAAGGTATGATCTATCCTGGAGAATGTTCCATGAGCACTTGTGAAGAAAGTCTATTCTGTTGTGGGTTTTTTTTTTATTCTGTTGTTTTTGAATGGAATGTCCTATAAATATCAATTAAGTCCATCTTGTTCAATGTGTCATTTAAAGCTCGTGTTGCCGCTCCAGAGCCCGTGAGCCACAACTACTGAAGCCCACATGCCAAGAGCCCGTGCTCCACAACAAGAGAAGCCCACACACCTCAATGAAGAGTAGCCCCCACTCACCACAACCAGAGAAAAGCCCATGTGTAGCAACAAAGACCCAACGCAGCCAAAAATAAAATAAAATAAATTTAAATAATAATAAAATAAATAAAGCTTGTGTTGCCTTAGTTATTTTCATTTTGGATGATCTGTCCATTGGTGAAAGTGGCCT